AGGGGTGGGTGGCAGCGGTTGGCTGGCTTGAGCCGTGCCAGGTGCAGGGTCTGCTGGCTGGGTGCTGGCAGCCTTGCACCTGGCATGGGCACCGTAGCCAGCCCGTGCCCCTTTACGGGCTCTGGGGCCGGGAGGGAGGCAGAAGAGTTTCCCAGAGTGGCCACCAGGGAAAGCTGGGAAGGGCTAGCCTCCCACTAGTTTGAATTAAGGGGCTACACAGCCCTTAATTTGAACTACTTAATTCGAACTAGGCTTAGTCCTCGTAGAATGAGGTTTACCTAGTTCGAATTAAGCGCTCCGCTAGTTCGAATTAAGTTCGAACTGGCAGTTTGCTAGTGTAGCGCCTATCAAAGTTAATTCGAACTAACGTCTGTTAGTTCGAATTAACTTTGTAGTGTAGACATACCCTCTCAGAGAACTCACTGACAGCGAAACGTCACTGGTCAAATGTATAAAAGTTTGTGGTATGTCACCACGTTCTGCAGAAAAAGCTGCACCCGGTGGGAAGTGGTGACATCATTCTGAATAAATCTGAGTATGTCTGGGGAAAAAAGCATACTTTCTGGGTTGGAGAGAGGAGTTGGGGAAATCCTGATCCGTGTGGACGGCTCAGTTGAGATGGGCTTCTCTCAGCACTGAGAACAGAACAAGAATGGAAGGAGACCCAAGAGAAGATAGCATCCCGGCTGGTTCTGTCCCATGGTTTCATATAGTTAAGGAAAAACCAAGTTTGAAGAAAATCAGCTGGCTCGTTTTAAAGCTAAAAGGTCTTGAGCCTAAGATTTATACAGAGTGAGACAGCAAGGTATTCTAAGCCACAACTATTTTCAATCCACCTGAAAGGGAACCAAACCATTTCAATTCACTGACTTCAAAACACAGGCAAATGAATAGACCAAAGTCACACAGGAAGTCTGTTGCACAGCCAGGAGTAGAACCTAGAACTTTTGTTTCCTGTTGTCTCAGGCTTCCTTTTGCTCTACTCTCCCACTCTCCCTGTAGCTACTTATGGTCTTTCATATAATTCTAGGTGTGATGGGTTTGATCACCGAGTCCCCTTGGGGTTGTCCCCCGGTGCATTAATCCTGCCACTGACACCAGCTTCCTGGTTTTGGGGGAATTCCCACCCACCACCTTATCGTGCTGGACTGGACCTTTGCTCTCTCCTTCCCACAGCACAGAGTTGGGGTTACTGCTTTTTGCAGAGCAACCCAGATGCTGAACTAGTTCAGCTCCCGGAGGGCTCAGTGTAAGTGTGTGTAAAAGTTCGACAAAGAAAAAGCTTGTAAATTCACCCTGTTTATCAATGAGAGATATGCACAGCAGTTGCTCCCCACTCCCCAAGGCAACAATTATTTACTCTGGGCTTGATAATAAAAGAACCAAAAGTAGGATGTGAGTGGCTGCAAGGGAAAGCATCCGATCACAGTCAATTACTACATTCAAATAAACAAAACACCAGCTAATCCTAATCCACTAAGAAATGTGTTTCATGCAAATTCTTATCCTAACCAGGTGCTCTACAAGTCTCTTCCACCAGCTAAGCAGCCTCCTAGCTTGGGCCTAATCCTTCTCCCTGTTCAATCTTAGATGCTTCCAGGCTGGGGTGAAGAATTGGGGGAGGGGGACACACAGAGGGGTCACATGCCCACCAAGCGCCATGGACAGGCGGGGCCAGCCAACAGTCAGTGGGAGAACTGGGCGGAGGGAGGAGCTGGTGCCCGAAGCAGGGGTCCAGGCTCCTCCCTGTACTCACCAGCAGCAGGGGGAAGCGGAGAAACATGGCCCCAGCTCACACTGCTCTCCCAGCGCGCTGCTCTAGGGGAGGAAGCAGGATCACCCCCGCACGCCCCATTGGGAAGCCGAGCAACATGGCTGGGGGGAGCAAAGCACCTGGGCTGCCTTGCTTCAGCTTGCCCTGCCACTGCCAGTAGCATGCCAGCACTGGCCCCAGGGGCCGCCTCAGCTGGGGGAGGAGGCAAGACAGGAGCAGAGCAGAGGCAGGGTTTGGAGGGAAACCACATGGCCAGTGCCCCCCTCTGGGTCCCCTCTGGACAGGCACCTCTTGCTATTTCCAGCAGACATTTTTGAGTGGGGAGGGGGGGCGGAGAAGAGAGCTTCTGGTATCTGGCAACTGCCCCTATGTGACGTAGTGGGGGTACTTGCTGGGCTGTGGTGACCTCTGCTGTCCGAAGCAAGACCCATCAGGGAAAACCTTATTATGCAAAGGTACCATACCGGTTGAACCAGCTACCCCCCATGGGGAGAAACAAAGGGAGGTGGAATGCTGCCCTGGCTGGGGGCAGGGCTGGGAGAGGTAGAGTTAGTTCCTGTCTGGAAAGCAGGGGAGAAGGAGCTGGGGACGGGGGCTGGGACTCCCCTATCTCAAGGGGGGCACTGAGGCCTCTTAGCCCCAGTTCCTGTAACCAGATTACATCTGTGCTGCGCTGTATCCTGGAGGAGCAATAAACCACCCTCAATTCCCCTGGCTGGTGGAGTCTGTTTGTGCCATTTCGGGGTGCAGGAGACGGGAGACCCCCAACGCGCCATCACACCCTATTGTGGATTCTCTTCCTTACTCCTTTTTGCCCAAGGCAGGAATTCTTTGTGCTCAATTCAAACTTTTCTCACCTCAGGTACAAAAGCACAAATGACCCAAAATGGGTTTCAGCATCAGCTGACCTGGCCTTTCTAGGACCCACCAGAGTTTGGGCTTAGAGGGCAAACAAGACTATTCACAGGTCATTGGTTTGTATATCAAGTCATCAGGATCCTAAAGTATCCTGAAGCCAATTTTCATAAAGCATTGGGAGGTGAGGGGGGAGCTCTCACTCTGGCGCACGTAAACTCTCCCCCCCTCACCTACCTAGCAGTACAACACCCTTATATGTGTGCATAGTGACAACTATAAAAGACATATACTAGTATAGCTTATTCTGGTAAGGGAAGGAGAAGATGATACACCAGTATAAAAAATTTTATGCCAATATAATTGCATCCTCACTGGAGTCTGTACCAGTATAACTACATTGTTTTTTTAAAATATCATTAACCCCCTTTGGTCCAGCAAATTCCTTGTCTTGGGACCAGTCAAATTCCAAGGGTGCCAGATCAGGGAGCTTCAACCTGTAAACTGAACAGTCAGGGCATTTTAAAAAGGAACACAAAAATTAGCCCTTTGATCATTTACAAGCAAATAAATTAACCAGATATCATCAACTAAACTTGTTTCTATGTAAATGTCTATTTAATAAGAAAGTGCGAGCACAGCAAGATAAAAACAGAGTTCCTCAAATCTGGGAACCAAGGAACGAGACAGTACATAATCTGAACTACTGAAGATTACCATCTGTCAGAAAGCTCTTTTACTAAAAAAGTTTGCAAGAACAGTATTTTAGTATCATATCTGGGAAAGATATACTTCTTCCCCACAACAGGTATCTGTAATTTAGAGAGAAAGCACACACATGTATTAGTGGCTCATCATATACATTCAGATAAAAAGATTATTCGTTTCTTGGGTCATGACTATTTAGCTTTAGCAGGGAATGTGTAGTTTAACATTTTCTCCTTTGTATTTCAGATTGCCCTTAAATATGACGGATATGAAACTTACCATTAAGGTTTTACACATTAGCAGAAAATCCAATAAACCACTAACAAAGTAGTTTTAAATTGAACTTTGAGCCCTGGTCTATACTAGG